ACGATGATGATGATGGTGATGATCATGAAGATGATGACGATGACACGGATGATGCTGACTCGGATGATGATGAAGATGGTGATGATGATGATGATGATGAAGTTGATGATGATGATAATGATGATGATGTGGATGATGATCATCACGATGATGATGATGAGGTTGAAGAAGATGACTCAGATTATGGTGATGACGATGATGATGAAGATGATTCGGATGATGATGATAATGATGATGATGATGGTGATGATGATTATTCGTATGATGATATTGATGATGATGATGATGACGATGATGATCATGATGACGATGTTGCTGACTCGGAGTATGATGTTGATGTTTAGGATGATGATGATGATGACGATGATGAAGATTATGAAGATGATGATGATGAAGATTCGGATGATGATGATGATGATGATGATGATGATTCGGATGAATATGATGATGGTGATGATGACGGTGATGAAGATGATGATGATAAAGATGATGATGGTGATGATGTTGATGATGATTATGAAGATGATGATGATTTTATTGTCAATGATGATGATGATAAAGATGACGGGTCGGATGATGATGATGTTGACGATGATGATGATGATGACGAAGATGATGTTGACGATACGGATGATGATGACTCGTATGACAGTGATGATGATGATGATGATGATGCGGATGACTTGGATGATGATGGTGATGATGATGTTGCTGATGATGACCGGGATTATGACGATGAGGACGATGATGTTGATGATTCGGAGGATAATGATGATGATGATGTTGATGGTGATGAAGTTGACGATTAATATTATGAAGATGTTGATGATGGTGTTGATGATTATGAAGATGATGATGATTAGGATGTTGATGATGATGATGATAATGATGAGGACTCGGTTGATGATGATGTTGACAATGATTATGATGATGATGTTGATGATGCTAACTCGGATTATGATGATGACGACGATGATGATTCAGATGGTGATGTTGATGGTGATGATGATGATGATGGTGATGATGATGAATCCGAGTACGATAATGACGATGATGATGACGATGATTCGGATGATGACTCGGATGATGATGATGATGATGATGATCACGATTAAGATGACGATGATGACGATTCGGATAATGAAGCTGTTGATTCGGATGATGCTGATGATAGAATGACGATGATGAAGATGCTGATGACGATGATGGTGATGAGGATGATGTTGCTGGTGATGATTTTGACAGGGATAATGACGATGTTGACTCGGATGATGATGATGATAACTCGGATTATGAGGATGACGATGAAGACGATAATGATTCGAATGATTATGATGATGGTGAGGATGATGATGATGATGATGATAACGATGATGATGACTCGGATGATGATGATGAAGATGATGTTGAAGATTATGATGAAGATGTTGATGATGATGACTCGGATTATGATAATGACGATAATGATGATGATGATTCGGATGATGATGAACATGGTGATGATTCGGATGGTTATGATGATGGTGATGATGACGAAGATGATGATGATGATGATGATGATCACGAGGATGATGACGATAATGATGACGATGGTGATGACGGTGATGATGATAATGAGGATGATGATGAATTTGTTGTCAATGATGATGATGATAATGATGACGAGTCGGACGATGATGATGTTGACGATGATGATGATGATGATGAAGATGATGTTGACGACACGGATGATGATGATGATGATGATGTTGATGATGACGATGATGATGCGGATGACCTGGATGATGATGGTGATGATGATGTTGCTGATGATGACTCGGAATATGATGATGACGATGATGCTGTTGATGATTCGGATGATGATGATGATGATGATGATGATGATGTTGATGGTGATGAAGTTGACGATTAATATAATGAAGATGTTGATGATGGTGTTGATGATTATGAAGATGATGTTGATGTTGATGATGATGATGATGATGATGATGATGATGATGATTCGGATGATTATGATGATTCACGTGGTAGTGACTCGGATGATGATGATGACGATGATGATGCTGATGATGATGATGATGATGTTGGTCATGATGAATATCATGATGACTATTAATACGACGATGAAACTGGTGATGATGAAGTTGAAAAAGATGATGTTGATGATGATAATCGCACGGCTGATGTCGACGATGATTCGGATGATGATGATGATGATGACGAAGTTGATGATTCGGACGACGACGGTGATGATGATTATGATGAATGTTCGGAAGATGATGATGATGATGATGATGACGATGATAATGATGATGATGAATTGGATGAATTTGATGCTGCTGATAATGATGATTCGGATGATGATGACGATGATTCGGGATATGATTTTGATGATTACGATGAACATGA